CTCTAATAAATCTTTAAAAAATTCTCATAAAATCTCAGATAAATAGTAAGTGGCCCTCTCTTAGAGGTTTAAATAGTCTTATATTTTAATTTAAATTATATATCACCTAAATTTAATTCAATTTCTAGACTTTAATTCAAATTCAAATTAAATTTAGATTTTCATGATTTATTACTTATGACTTCAATTCAAATTTCTAATTAAATTCGAAACAAATGCTATTCCGGCCGAAGTACCCCGTGCCGATGAAGTCTTTGATTCCCTGTTCCTTTCCATGCATCTATGAAAAGGAGCAATTGGATCTTAAGCCCTCAAGTTTATAGGATTATAACTTTTAAGACCCTAAATTTAAAAGACATCATTTAAGTGTTTAAAACTAAACAAAATTATATTAATTTAGGACATTAAGTTTTAGATTTTTTAGGGTTTAATGATTGTACTGCAAAGTTTTAATATTAAATGTGAATTTAAGGTATTATTATTTAAATTTTTTATGATTTTGCATTTAGATCATTAGGATTTATATTTTTTCAAATTCAATATTTAGTATTGTATTTCAGTCTTTGCACTTTCTCTTACTCGTTAATAAAATCCTGATTACTCTAATAAATTTCTTTAAGTTATTTTTCAGTTACAACAATGTGCAATATAATCCTAGAATAGGATATCTACCCTTTGCCAGTGCAACAATAGGTTGAGAGTTAGACCTATTGTGTTGATTTATTTAATCATCCAAATAGAAAATTAACTTAGATATAATCTTTTTAGTGTATTATCGAATACATATTTGAGGAGAAATCTACTTACACATAAGTATTACAAACTCCACTTACATAAAATTTTAACTTTTTATTTTTTTATTTTTAATTATTGAAATTTATTTACATTTAATAAAAATAATTATTTTTTTAATTTAAAAAATCATGATAAATTTCAACTATGGACTGTGGAAAGATGAATGATTTAGAATTTTAGTAAGTATAATGTGTAAAACTTAAATGTGACTAGATCGCTCCTTTACATATTTGGTTAGAAGTTAGATTGAATTATAATAGAAGTTGTTAAACTCATATTGAAGTGGAATATATAATTGAAATGCAAAAAGAAAGGCTGGTTCTTCTCTCTGTCAGACTGGATCCAAAATCCAGTGGCCTGCTTAAAGAGATGCAGCAGTGGGATGAAAGTAAAAGGAAATTTCAGCACCAGATTAATTAGCTGAACACAAAGGAATGAGAAATCTTATTTTTTGGATGACAATTGTAATTTTGGAGGACTCATTGCTGGACAAGCATTAATTCCTGTAATGAGTTTGGAGTACCCCTTGTATTTTCATAATAAAATAATTCTTTGCTTTCCAATATATATATATATATTGAAGTGGAATATATAATTGAAATATACTTGAAATAGAATTATAAATGGAATTATAATATTATGGAAGTTGCCTTATGTATAAAACAACGTTGTGTGTAATATATACCTAAAAAAATTTGAGTAATACCGTATTTGACAATAATATAAGAATTTATAAGAATTCCAATTAACCTCTCTCTCTCTCTTTCATTTTTTATCTTCCGATTTAACCTATAGTAATAAAACCCCATTAACCTTATTAATGTTTAATAAGAATTTATTTATAAATTTAATAGGAATTTGATATAATAA